GGTAGACAGCAGCCCCCCCCATATTCCAGAGGGCTGCCGTGTGAGCCCTTCCCCCCCCAGGCCCCGTGTGCTGCCATTTGGGGGCGGCCCTGAGTTTGGGTTGGTGGAGAGAGAACCATTCCATGGCATCTCTCTTTATCTAAAGTCTGGGTCAAATGATATCCCCCCCGCCCCGCCCCGCCCCGCCCCCACTGGCGCGCTGCCCCGGCCCCTGGAGGCTTAGGGACTCTGTTCCTGGTGAGGCCTGCACACCCTAAAGGGAAGAGGGAAGCTTAAGCTCTGGGGAATGCAGCCCAAAGAAGAGACGAGCCAAACTCTTTTGGTTGTTTAAGGAGACACAGCACCTCAGTGCGGGATGGAAGCTAGGATGCTCTCGTGCTCGGCGGGCACCCACTCTGCTCCCAGGCAGCCGTGCCCTCGGGGCCCATCCTGTGCCAGCCTGGCTGGGTTCTCAAGGACACGAGCGTGGCTGGCACGCTGTGGCTCCAGGATGTGAGGACTTCAGCCTCCTGAGCCTCCCTTAGCATAGGGCAAACTGGGACCATTGCCCCATTCTGGTTCCCATTGGAGCCCTTGGGGACATCAGGAATGGGTCATCCAGAGCCCGGGAGGAGTCCAGGGACTCCTTCCCACCATCACTTCTGGGGCTGCACATCCGGCACCCGCTCCTCGTAGGCTCCATTGTGCTTTGAGCCCCTCCTCTCTTGAGCCCGTCCAGCCTGCGGTCAAAGCCAGGCTTGCCATGAAAGTGTAGGGATGGACAGCTGGTCCCCGTGGGGGAACTTTCTCATACGTGCAGGGGTGACTGAGGGGGTGAGGCACCTCGTAGGGAGAGCCACGGCCCAGCAGGAGGGCAGGCTCACACGTGTGGCCCCCGGTACTGTGTGCAGGCCGGCCTGTCCACGCTTCTCCCTGAGCCAGGAAAGGGCCGACAGACTTCTTGCTGCATTTGCAGGTGATACAGGCTTTGGAGGGACAAAGTTGCCCAGTTGGGGACAGATTCTAAAAGATCCCCCCCACCAGGGACCAACGAAGTTCTAAAAGGGACATGAAGGAATCCCTCAGGTGAGAATGTAGAGTCGGGCCGTAGGGTTCAAAACGCCCCCTGAAGAAGAGGCAGGGCCCCGGTGGGAGCGCAGGTCAGTGCGCTGTGAGCCCGGGAGGGCTGTGTGAGCTGGGGGTCTCGGGGTGCGGTGCAGGCGTGGCTGCCTCCAGAGCCAGGGGCCAGACGGTAGAGGCAGCCCTCTGATGTTCTCAGTCCTTCTTCCCTTCCTCGTGTGCATGCGCTCATGTGCTGTGCACCCGGCATGAAGCTGGGCTGGGGCGGTTCTGGCCACCGTGTTTCAAGGTGAAGTAACTTGAACTTGTACAGAGGTGTGGCAGCAGATGCCCAGTCACTGGGAGCAGCCCAGAGCCCTGGGGGTGTTTCGCTGGGGCAGCCAGGCTGCCGGGCAGCTGCATTTTCTTGCTCTGGTGACATCAGGGGGAAGAGGCCGAAGGCAGTTTTTCTTGGCTCCTGGAATGCACACCAGGACCAGCGGGCGGACGTGCTGGGAAGCTTGGGGCGCCTCGCCCCTAGTTGGAGCCATCTTTAAAGAGCTGTCTGGAGGGGCAGTGGACTCCCAGCCCGGGTCTCTGAGCACAGCTAGATGGTCTGCTCTTGAGTGACCCGGCGGGGTCCTGTGAGGGGCGCGCCGAGGGCTCTCTGAGTTCCTGGAGCTGGTTCTGTGGCTTGTGTGATGCCCCAGCGGCACAGGGGAAGCTGCAGGCTGTCAGGAGCTCGGGGCCTGAGGTCCAAAGAGCACGTGGCCCTGTACCATCCACTCCCCCATTTGGAAGCTCCAGAAAGGAGGGAGGACTCTGGGTCCCCACCACGTTGCAGGGTCTTACCCCCAGGAGGCCGGCAGCTGGACACATGGTGCGCTGCCCTCAAGGGACAGTGGCCTCCCTCAGACCTGTCGGCTCTGAGAAGTGAATGTCCGCACACGGTACCTTTCCTTCTAAGTGGTCGGTCGCGCTCTGAGCACCTCCCATGTGCCACCACGGGGCTGGGCTGTGGGAACAGAAGGGGTCCCTGCCCGCTGGGAAAACACTGCAATGTGGGGGTGGCCAGCTGGCCAGGGTCAGAGGCAAGGATGGCGGAGCTTATATGGAGGACAGAGCAGAGGCATCAGACAGGGAGGGCTCTTTGCCATTCTCTCCTCAAAGCCCTCCTGTGACATGTGCTGCTCTTTGGGCTCTATGAGGTCACAGTGACCCACCGGCATCTTGGCTAGTGTGTTTCAAGCTGAAACGAACCTCTCATTTCACACCTTATACCCAATGCTTTTTGCTTGAGAATCGTGAACTTGGAGTTTGCTGCCTGAGACTGTTTGCCGTTTGTGGAAAAGAAGGGGGGTGCACCCACTTCGAGGTCCCACATGTGAGCTCAGCACCCCACTTGTGGGTCAGGAAGATGTGGCTCATCTGTGGCTCCCCCCACTCCGGCGCGTGTTGGCAACCGTGCTTCAAAGCTTCACCTTCAGACCTGCACCGACCTGGGCTTTGCTCCTAGTACCAGGGTTCACCGGAAACGCGGCTCCTGGCGGGGTTCTTCACGGTCCGCTTCCTTGGGCCCCTGCTGACAGCGGGTGGTCCGTGGACTGAGTTCAGCCCGTATGAAGGTTCTAGTTGGATAGTATGGAGTCAGCCTGAAAGTGGCTTATGTTTTTAAAAATTCATTGTCAACGTTTAAAAATCCCAAGAGATTTCATGTAAGAATCTAGAGTTCAAGCTTTTTAGAAAAATTGGATCTTCCAATCTGGGACCTCAGTCCTCCAGAGCAGCAATCGTCTCCTTAGATGGGGTCTGGGCCCTCCAGCTCCATTTTCCTTCTGTTTCCCTGACACTGAGGCCCAGCGTTGTTGGCTTTTACCATAGTACCTGGGCTGTATTTATCTTCTCCTTTGCCTTCTTCATTCGTTTACCCCTCTCTGGAGCCCTTACATGCTCGACTTGACGCAATGGCCCTCGTGATTTCTTGTATCACCACACTAAGCCTGCTGCCTGGCGTGCAAGGTTAGGCTTAGTTGCCAGATATTTTGGGGAGCTTCTGGGTCCCTGGAGGTACTGTGTTTGTGCCTTTGCTTCATCCCTAATGTAGCCGTGTCCCAGCTCAGATGTCATCTGGTTCCTCCCTTTGAAGCTTTCATGGTGTCCAGAGCCACATCGTGGGCACTGTCCTCGCCATAGCGCCGAGCCAGGCCCGTGTTATCAGCAATGTTTGCTGAATCCAGTTACGTCCAACAGTTGTTCGGCTGCCGCTATTGCCAAGTGTGATGGAAATGGTTTCCTTGAACTTGAAATGAGATTGCTCCTTATTATTGTTTCCCAGATCACCAAGCCTAGAATGACTTGATTTTGGTCATTTAGCACCTGGACTGAATCATTTCGAAGTCGCTGCTGTGCTTAGGCTCAGCCTGTCTGGAGGGTTTGGTGGCTTGTATTAGTGCTCAGGGAGGTGCGGGGAAGGGCCCCCGGATCCTTGAAGAGGCAAGATGACACGTGTGTGTGTGTGAGTGCGTGTGCGTGTGTACACGTGTGCATGTGTGCTGGTGAGCTGTCGGGCCAAGAAAGGCCTTGGGGTCTGTGCATTTTGAGCACAGAGCACCCCTGCTGACACGTATAACCTGGCGTGCATGTCTAGTTCATGTCTAGTCATATGACTAAGAACAAAGCCGTGTTCGCCATTCGTGGGCAAGGCTTAGTCAAATCTGGTATAACTGAGTTCAAGAAAAACCCTGAAAGTATTAATGGCTTGAAAAGCCATCATTTGGGAAGAGACTGTCATATTGTCCTAATAACAGATGGGGACCACACGGAGCTGATATGGACAAATCCCTAGCGGCCAGGCTGGTCTGATTCAAGCTGGTCTCTGTGCGATGCAGAGAGCTGAATACAGATACAGAGCTGAATCTGCACGGTGCAGAGGCTAATTTCAAAGCAACCACTGCCACCGGCAGCTGGATATTGGCCCGAGTTTGGCCCAGGGATGCCAGGTCCCTGGGAAAGCATTGGACCTGGGACACAAAAATGTCAGTCATGTGGCTTGGCCACCAAAAAGATGACCGCTTAGACATTTATTTTTTAGACCCGGAAAGATATTCATGAAGCCACTTGAAAGAAGCGGGATATAGGGGCACCTGGGTGGCTCGGTCAGCTAAGCATCTGACTCTTGATCTCTGCTCAGGTCCTCATTTCATGGTTCATGAGTTCGAGCCCCACATCGGGCTGACAGCACAGAGCCTGCTAGGGATTCTCTCTCTCTCTCCTCCTCCTCTCTCTGCCCTTCCTCCGCTCATACTTTTTCTCTCAAAATAAATAAATAAACATTAAACAATTTTAAAATAAAAGCAGGATGTAGAACTGTAGCACAGTAGTATAATCCCACGTTTTGTTTTGTTTTTAAAAAACCCAAATCCTGTGCGCACCCATTCACCTGTGTGCCTGTAAACTGGTGTGTATAAAATTACGGGGCAGAACTCACCGTACTCGTTATCTGAGGGATGGGCTTTAGGGTCATTTTCACATTTTTCTTCATCCTTCTCTTCACGTTCCCTGAGTTTCGTCAATGCCCGTGTGTTCCGTGGTAAAGTGACAGAGGGGGGAGCAGGGGGTGGTGCCACCCCCACGTGTGGGAGCGCAGCGGCCGGGCCCCACGGCGGAAGCTCCCTGTGTCCATGTGTGTGTGAAGCCGCCGCCAGGCAGACACGGAGGCAAGATGAAGCTGTTGATAGAGGCACACATTTCATTTCTGGAGTGTCTAGCGGCTTTGTGAGGACGGAGAAGCCGCGTGGGGTCCAGCCTGGCGCCGTCAGCCGCCGGATATTAGCTGCCTGGGTGCAGGCCTCGGGCCTTCTTTCAGCCGCTCTAATCACCGCTGTGGTGTCTGACAATTATTACTTTTGCTCACGCTTGACCGATATGAGTACTGATAAGGTGTCCTTTCCATAAATTTACAGGCATTGCTTTCTTGCCAGCTAGTATCTCTTATCTCATCGGAACCAATGTTTTTGGGATGCTCGCACACAAAATGGGGAGGTAAGAAGAGAACCATATGCTCTCTGTTAGAATAATGTGGTGGTTCTTTTAAGCACATTCTGGGTGTTTCTACCTTAGTTATCACAAGTAATTGTTTAGATTTCTGTTGAAAATTTGGCCCCACAGGGGCAGGGAGGGGAAATGGGAGCAGCATTTATTGAAGGTGCTTTTTGGGTTTTTTTGATAGGTGGCTTTGTGCTCTTCTGGGAATGATCATTGTTGGAATCAGCATCTTATGTGTGAGTAAAAGATGATTTCTGACCGGCGGGTTGTGGTCTCTAAGTAAAACTTTTGCTTTGGGCCAGAATCACCAGGAAGCATTTCAGAGCAGTCTCAAGTTTGTTGGTGTTTTTGATTTTTAGCTTTATGTTTTCAAAGTTTATTCATTTTGAGAGAAAGTGCACATAAGTGGGGGGAGGGGCAGAGGGGGGCGAGAGAGAATCCCAAGCAGGCGCCACGCTGCCCGCACAGAGCCTGACCCCACAAACCATGAGATCATGACCTGAACCGAAATCCAGAGTCAGACGCTTAACTGATTGAGCCACCTAGATGCCCCAATATTTGGTTTTATTACATTTTCGATTTTCCTCTAATTTTTTTATCTTCTTAAACCTTTTAGACAAAATTCTCCATGGGATATATTTACATTTTATGTCAGTTGGAAGTTATGTAGGACATTTTGTTGCATGTTATATTTCACTTCCGTGCTCCCCCATCATCTTAAATATTACAGTGTCTTGAAACACTTTCAGACAACTAGCCTGAAACAATAGCAAGATTGGTTTTTTTCTAGAATAAAACATCTTCTACCAACAGCCAGCACCCACCCCAAGCGAAGCCTTCTGGCCGTTGTCAGAAATGGAGTGTGGTCCAGGCTGATCTTGACCACAGCAGTTAGCGAGCTTTTCTTGGTGGTCACAAAACCCATCTCAGATTCAACTTCTAAAGACTGGGAGGACCCAGTTCCCCCCAGACCCCAGCCTCCTCCTTCCTGCTAGATCCTTCGGAAGGGAACGTGCATACCAGGCCAGAGAAAACATCTTTTTAAGGTTTTCCCAGAAGCTTTACAGTTGACTGTCATGATTTTACTGTGACGGTTATTTCCTCTTACAGATTCCTTTTGCAAAAAACATTTACGGGCTCATAGCTCCTAACTTTGGAGTTGGTTTTGCAATTGGTAAGTCACACGTAAAACTTTGTTTTCCCCGTTACTCACAAAGATTTCCTCTTATCCGGGTGGACTGTAGTTCTTCAACCTAAAATTTCTCGGAGCTGTAGGCAGCCCAGCTCCAGCACAGCCTGTCAGTTGTCTACAGCTACATACCTGCTTCCACACACTAGTCATTTCTTTTCTGAAAGCCAGTATTTTTATAAAGGCTGCTATTTACAGAAGCGAAAGGATGCTCTGGTGCTGCCCTTGGGCAAACAAGAGAATCCTTCCCTCAGAGCACCTTTGTTTGGGCTCAGATCTGTGCAGAGACCTTCTCACGAGAACCTGGGGGCCAGAGACTTCACGTATAGTTTTTATAAGGTCTGGTACAGAAAAGGTGGCCTGATTTGTCGATGACAACCGGTGCTGTGGGAATTTTCACCAGCAAAGGGCAGGGGTCTTTGGAACGTGAAGAACAATGTATGCTAGCAACAGTCTTGTTAATATTTTGCATACATAGTATACCTTTGTTTCTCATTCATAATATGCAGACGGGTCCTAGTAAAAGTAAATGCTAAATCTATCGCAGGCTAAAGGCAAGAATTGAAGCTTTGAGGGGTGCAGTGGAAAGGTAGAAGGGAGCCTTCGTGGACTCCCCAGTCGGGCTAGCTTTGCCCTCCCACAGCACCTCATGGCCTCAGTGACAACTGGACTCCATTGTTCAACTCTCTCCGGCCCACCCAACTCTTCCGTCCATTTCGTTCATCCCTGTCCCCATTCCCAGCACCCTGCACATAGTAGGTAATCAGCAAATACTCTTCCCTCCTCTCCTTGCCTCTAGAACTTGCTGGAGGTGAGGAAACGGACAGTTGAGTAGTCTGCTGGCGGTGACCACAGATAGTCTCATTTTAGCCGATCGTTATCAGCACCATTTGATGGATGGGGACATCAGTGCTCAGTTTGATAAGGAGTGGCCGTGCTCACCCTCCAGGGACTTGAGCCCAAGACTCTAAAGATACATGCTTTTTCTTTATTCTTTCTTTATTCTGTCTGTCTCTGTTCTGTTCAAGAGACAGGAGATTCTGATACTGGCCTTCGTGGGGGTGACTGTTTAAGCCCCAAATTAGTAGATTTCTTTCAGTCTGTTCCCTGAGTAGGGCAGGGTGACCCCTCAGGTGCCTTCCTTCCCATCTTCCCCGATACTTTCCAACCTATTCTCAGAGTCCGAGTATGAGGCTTAGGTGTGGATGGGGAGGGGAGCATGTGAGGCTTGTAGTTGTGCCCCCTGGGTGAAGGTGAGGGGCTGATGGGCCCAAAGAGAGTTCATCTGGAAAGCACCAGCTGGAGGCAGGTGAGGGGGCCACACAGCCATAGCCAGCACCCCCTGGGATGTGAAGGCCGGTCTGTGAGTCACCAGGGGACTGGCGTGTCCTCCGCTGGAAGATGGGCCCTTTAGACAGGGGAGGCCACATGAGGCCAGGGGGAGGATGGGCAAGTGTGGCCTGGGTTCCAGCCCCAGCGACCCCGCAGTCTTTCTTCCGTGGCGGGGATGCCTTGGGGAGCCCGCCTTGAGACTCACAGGTGGTGATGACAAAAGGGGAGCCTCTGGCGGGGTGTGAGACTAGGACACAGTCCCCGATATGCCCCGCGTTTTCGGGTTACATCAGTTTGTTGTTGACTGTGTTCCCTGCCTGTGCACAGGCATGGTGGACTCGTCGATGATGCCCATCATGGGCTACCTGGTGGACCTGCGGCACGTGTCCGTCTACGGGAGTGTGTATGCCATTGCGGACGTGGCCTTCTGTATGGGATACGCCATAGGTAAGGAAGGACGATGGCTTTTCGAAACAACCTTTTATCTGAGTGATAACCTATTATCTGGCATGATAATGCCAACTAGAAATTATTTCAACTTCTGTGTCTATCAATGAGACATTTGGACAGAGCTTTATCTAATTCTCTGTTTCCGGAAAGGTCCTTCTGCTGGCGGGGCTATCGCAAAGGCAATCGGCTTCCCGTGGCTCATGACGATCATTGGAATAATTGATATCCTTTTTGCTCCTCTCTGCTTTTTCCTTCGAAGTCCGCCCGCCAAGGAAGAAAAAATGGTAAGAAAAATTTCAGACGCAGTCTAGTGTTTCTTAATCATTTTGGCATGGTCTTCTGGATGGGTTCTTCATGGCTTAGTTCTAAAGTGTATTTCTGCTCCTTTGGGGCAGAACTCCCCAAATGTAGATGGTAAGAGTTCCTTTTGTGTTTATACTGCATAGGCCATACTCTTTCACTATATCTAGCGTTACGTTTATAAATGTGAAGAATGAAGTGATTTTTTGTACATAGATCAGCAGTCTGTATAGCTCTTTTGTTGATCAGACATGGGGTAGCTAACGTCATTTTCTTTAGTTCTTGAAAATCTTGAACATAATTTTTTTGCTTCCTGCACCGAGTCCTGAGATCAGCCATTGTGGGTGCTGTTTGCTTTTCTCCTGAGCCTTACAACTTTCAGTAATCGTGTTTTCGTCCTTACTGCAGAAGACTCTGGAGATGGTTTTGGTGTAGATAACAGCATTTTGGGAAACTATTGTTTGTGCACCTTTGGGCACACGTGAGGATGTGTGTGTAACCTTTAAGTTCAGTTTCATAGCCAGAGTCAGAACTAAATGAACAGTATGGTATTGAGGATAGTGTTCCTCTTGCGGACACATTCACTGATTGGTTCTAAACTTGAATTTCAGAAAGCATTAGTCATTTTAACCTAATAAGCGTTCATCCCTGATAGTGGTGGTGCTTGTTTTTTTTTTTTAATGTTTTATTTATTTCTAGGAGAGAGAGAGAGAGAGACAGCATGAGCAGGGGAGGGTCAGAGAGAGAGGGAGTCACAGACTGAAACAGGCTCCAGGCTCTGAGCTGGCAGTCAGCACAGAGCCCGACGCAGGGCTTGAACCCACGAACCACGAGATCATGACCTAAGCGAAAGTCGGACGCTTAACCGA